AGGAAAGGTGTAATAGAATCATAGTCATATTGATACATCGATTGAACATCAAAACGGTTTCACTTCATCTCTACCTGAGGTAAAATTAGTCATTAATAAACAGAATTAAGAAAAAAAACATCATTGACCTTTATATGTGAAATCGCTGAAAAAGGACAAGGAACAAAATGTGTGTAATACTTTAAGCAGACTTTCTCTTAGGCAGTGACATCGTCTTAATGATCTGGGATGCACTCTCCAAAGCTACTCAAAGCACTTCCTTGGTCTTCGTTATTTTTCTTCGTTTGTCTGCCTTGTATTGTTTAAAATATTCACACACTGTGACTAATAAAAAGCCAGTCTGAGATTTAAAAAAAGCATTCGTGCAAACACATTAAGAATAAAGGATTGAATGATGTCCATGGCTGCGAGGCCTTCCCTCAGTGCCCATGACAACCCACTGCATTAGAACTAAATATCAGCCAGAGAGACGCCTGATTGATGCCACAGGAAAAAGTAGGACGTTAGGTAACACAATTAGCGGTGGAAATGGTGACATTTCCACCGCTGTCACCACATCCTGCTCTCATACTGAATGAGCAGCACAGGTCAAATGAACGGACTGAAGATGAATAAAGAGCCATTAAAAAAAGAAAAAAAGAGGAAACTTGAGTCGCCGTAGCTGATGTGAAAGACTGCAGCTCGGTAATTATAGAAACACTATGACTGACATTCTTCACAGCTGCAAACAACAGAAGACAACTAAGGATTCAGTGAATATGTTTGGTATCAGAACTAATTCTGTTACCCTGCGGAGAGGTCTCTATAGAGTTAGTAAGTGTTTAGCTCGGCTAGGGCTGAAAGGATTAATTGATTAGATAATTATAATTTTTTTTTAATATACAAAAAAAGTTGTAGTTTCTCTCTTCAGATTTAGGAGGAGGGCCTTAATGATCGTGTGTGTTGGCTACTAAGCATTACCTCCAGACACTGCTTCATAAGGTGGCGGCATGTCAAGGTGTGAAACCGATGCTGTTGGCGGCAGAGCTGTGGGGTGCTCCTCTATTGACAGATCATCCTGAACACCATACCAACTGGGCCACACAGATGTTTGCTGTAAACAACACAGGGAGAGTGAGTTATGGTTTGGTTATTTGATGCTGTGCTATTAGATTATATGAACTGTATTTGAACATCCCTAGTTTCAGTTCCAACATACCAACTCTAAAAGTATTTCCGCACACAGCTGTAGGAGAAATGATGATTTAAACTCCTAAAGGTCAGGCCTAATTAAAAATATACTATACATTTACATACAAAATGCTTTACTAAACAATGGAAAACATTAAAAAAACCATAAGCAGGGTTTTTAAGGGCCTTTTAGGGCTAAAAGTGTGAACAAAAACATATATAGTACATATGCGGACAAAAACATATATATTATAATGTGGTTATACTGTGGTTTTTTTTCACAGACCATAGACTTGCCTGCACAGCTACAAACCACCATATGTGGATGAATTTTGTCAAATTTGCTATATATAGTTTAGAAAGAAAAAAGGCTTCAAGGATGTACAGTAAACGTACACCCCTGCCTAAACATTTAGCACAGTGCTATACATTTCTCAGCCACATTGAGTGTTTAACACAGAATGCCAGAGCCACCAGTTTAAAACACAGACCAGCAGTGATACCAACCATTACAGTGGGCTGTGACATTTGCTACGTAACCACGATTACACATGATTTGTGTTGACTGTAAATAATTTTGAGTCCAACAAAAGCTGCCAGTGTTTGTTTTTATAACTGACAATTTAAATGACATTGTCTCATGTAAATGCAAATATCTGAGTCTCTCCTTTACCTCTTAGGAAGCTCTGGGTGCTTGTTAGCAGGCTAATTTTAATATTTATAGGAGGATGACTAATGAAGATTGCGCGGGGATGTCAGTGGTGATTGATGTATTAATCAGCATACATTAGACTTCCGTTTTGACTGTGATAGAGAGTCAAAACAGAGAAAAATTATATTCAGCAAGATCAGAAAACAAGATTAAAACTATTTGGGATGAAGTTTGATATTTTATCACCTATTAATATGTCAAACCTCTGAGGTGAATACATGCCATTTTGTTTTTTTTTCCCCCCAATTATTTCTAGTTGAGTGGTTCTACATCATCCTAAGGATTGAAGTTGCTCTGGCTCCTCTCCAAACATCTTTCAGGGGGCTGGGTAATGGATGACTGAGGGGCCTCCCCGCTGCACATTCCATTAAAATATAAACAGGGAACATTATACACCAGAAATAGAAGCAAAAGGAGAAGAAGTGAAGAAAGAAACAGAACAAGATAAAATGAACTGGAGGGGGGTGTCAGTGTGCAGAGGAAGAAAAGAAAGCAAACAATAGAGCTGCTTAGTGAGGAAGAACACAAGGGAGGGAGAAAGGGGGAAACGTGTGAGTGAAAAAGGGAAGTTGGAGATTTTTTGACTAGAAATTGATGATCTGGACTTCACACTGTTACCTGGTCATCAAAGAACAACACTTTTGATCACAGTTTAAGGCATATAAACAGTTATAAACAAGATGTGGTTAGTGACATTAGCTGAACTGAGTAACTCAGTAACGTAGGAGTCTCTAAAACTGAGGCATTTCCTGTTGCACAAATATTGAAAGCAAGGCTAAAAATATCTCAGCTGTGGTATACTCTTAACAGAAAATACCTTTTAAACTGGATTCTGATAAAGCCTCGCACTTGACAAAATATGTTCTTAAAGATAAAAAAAAGAAAGAAAACAGGCTTTTCATTTACAAGCCGTTTGTGTTAGCTAAGCTAATAAGAACAGAGCTATGTGACATAGCACAATAATCTAAGAAAAATCTGTTTTATATTATTTACAGAGCACAGTTTGGGAAGGTTATGAATCACCGTGATTGCTTCCAGGTGGTTTAAAAAAAAGCAGTAAAAAAACAAGAAAAACCCTATGAAAAGCACAAACATGTTGATGTTTTCAACTTGCGGTGGAGAACACAAAAATGGAAATGCCAGTGTTGTGGAAAATCAAGGTTATTTTGGAAAACAATATAACTGACTTAGATAACTACAATTGAAAACGTGATAGTGTTAGTGATATAAATTATTATTTGTGGGTCAGTCTTCTCCAAACTGTCAGTTTACTGTCCCAGCGACGGCTGTTGTTTTTACAGAACAACTTCCAAGGACTTCAATGGTACACTTGCACTTCTTGCTGACTGAAGAACTGTCAAAGTGGTGACCTGCCCTTCCATTCCTCTGGTGTCAACAGAGAAAGCTCACGGAAAAATGTCAACACACATGAATGCAAACAAGAACTGAATACTTGTTAACACACCTCTGCGAAATGTCACCAAAAACCAAAATGTATCATGTCTTCATGTCACTCTGACCACTGTTGAAGCAACTGGCATCACAAGAATCCTAAAAGAATGTTAGCTCTCAGGGGCTTTTCACATGCAAACAATAACTTAACTGTTTAAACCCTCTCTTAGTTATATTCCTGTCATATGTAACTGCACCTTTAGGCAGCTTACTGTATGAAAACACTTGTGTATCTATACTAGAAAAAGTTGAAAGACTGTGTACCTTCTATGAGGTTATTAAAATAATATATGGTACTGCAGGAAAGTTTAGCATTTCTTCATGTATAAATACTGGGACAGGTTGACAAACTGGTTGTCTAGAGGTTTAGCCTGGAGCAGGATGAACCAAAACAGATGGAAGTCTGAACATATGGACAGACCCCAAGGCAGAGACAGAAAATTAACCTACAAGTGCAAAACGTGTCTTGCTCAAAAGAAACCATTTCAAATATTTAACCTCTTTTTGTCACTTAATGTGTTCCAAAAAAAAAAGCTCAGAGCACAGAGGGCTTGGGAGACAAAATAAACCATTTTTTTCAAACTCAAATTCTGTGAGGACTTACACTTTGCCGTTCACACATCTGATGAAGGTAGGCTCTTCCTCCAACAATGACTATCTGTGCATTGCGTGGGTTGCTCAGGTATGCTGCCAGTTGCCTCTGTCTTGAACGGTACCAGCACACATAGAAGAATATCTTGATAATTATAAATATGATGACGACTCTGTAGAAAGGTCAGGAAAATTGTTGTCAACATGCAGCTGTTGCTTGTCGGAGTATTCACCTCCAGGTTCTAAATGTTAATGACCAATTGTTTTGTGCAACAATTTTTGAAGTGAGCATTTTAACAAACATCTGTCCCCAACGTAAGTTGCAAAATGGCCAACATTGTTGACATATCCACAGTAAAGACAGTGAACTATCTATGAAATCACCAAAACAATTACATTGATGCTTATTTGATGTGTTACTTACATGTACCAATACAGCTCCATGTTAGTATGATGTCACTTAGTGGACTATCTCATAGTTGAGGACTAACTTGATGATCCTGGGCCAAACCTCCTTCAGGCCACAATTTCTCCTGGAAACAAATGCAACTTAAGTGTTCACAATAATCATGAAATCCTATGCAAAACCACAAAACACATGGAAAATGTAAATGCACAAGCAATCATAAACAGCCAACTTACTTTGTTTAGCAAGTATTTTTCCATATTATCAGGACTATCAGCCTTTAACTCCACTTATTAAATTTAAAGCCTAAAAAGGTGTGTTAAATAACGTTTAATGTCCTATTTAACGTATGTATTATCTATTTAGAAGTGTAATTACCACTCACATTGTTCACGGTGGGGTTGGGCATTATTTTTTTCATTAAATGCTTAACATTGACTTTAGCATTTGTTGTTTGCAGCATTAATACACCCTAAATCAAATATAATAAACCAGGGTAGAACTTACTTGACAGCAACAGCTTGTTCCTCTGCATCAGCCGTGAAGGTCTGTCATTTCCCTCTGTTGTTTTTAATACGACGAAGGTAGCGACTCCGGGAGCCAGCTGTGGCTACCGCTAGTTGAGCTAATAAGCTAACATGTAGCAGCAAGAACAGAGCAGGCCACAACTACAACAGCCTCCACCTTTTATTTACACAAGGGGAAAAACGCCCTCGGTTTAGTTTAACACTTTTACAGACATGTCTGCTGGTTATTATTAAACACAAAGTTACCAACCAGTTTCTTACTTGTAAAGTTGCCAGTTAAAAAAAGAAACAAATCAGACTCACAGCTGTACCTCTCCTTAACTGACTTAACACATCCCCTTGTGTATGTATGTGTGTGTGCGTAAGTGAAAGCAGCGCTGCTTTAGTTTCACAGTGGGCGGCGTTCACGGACTCTTGCTCTCTCGGCTTCCCGTAAACTGGCCCTCCTCTGTAGCAAACGTAGTCGCGATTGGTCTGAGGTTCAAGTGTAGCCGCCGATGTTTTGCTTAGATTACACCACCAGATGGCGCTACAAAACCACATTTTAGAGGTAATAAAATCCCAACGTCTTTTTTTACGTAAGCAGTGAAACATTTGGTATTTCTGAGTAACTGTCTCGGCTGTTAGGTTTCATGGAAATCCATAAATGGCAATATTCCCGAGGCCAGGAAAGGTTGCAAAACAAAATAAAAAGGGGAATAGTTTTTTCTAATTTGACAACTCTAGCTGTCATTCGTTCAAATACTTTTTAAAATATGACTTAAATACCTTTAAACATACAAAGGCAAGAAAAAAAAAGAGTAAGTGAAGGTGACACCATTTTGTGTACAATCGTAATACTTTGCCTCCATCTAGTGGTCAATATTGCACAGAGCATGTTATAAAGTCGGGTAGAAAACATTTTATACATATACTATTTACTAATAACTCTGCAGTTTGTTGTTGCATAGTTGAAAAAATGACAGTTGTATATGCAAACTTTATTTTTTAAAGTTTGACACAAGCTTGGCTTTAGAAACACCTTATTCACAGTTGTTTATTAAATGAAACACCTTTGATACCTCAGTCTTGCTTATCGGTTATCTTCCACAACAATTGTGCGTCTTGGGTAGGTATCTATTTCCACAAATATGTAACGGAACTCATATTTGCCAGTTTCAACATTCTGTAAAAATAGATGTGTTTTTATTTTACACACACAAAAAAAAACAAAAAAACCCCAACATAATTCAGATGAAAATGTTTCATTATAACCATTTATAGCACACTTAAACAAAGTATTAAAGAAAACTAACCTCCTTTGATTCTGAATGCACAGTTCCCTTGAGACCCGGTTCTGAACCTTCAATGTAGAACTTGAGTCTCAAATGCTTCAGTCCATCCTTCTGGAACTCCATGTGACTAAAGGTTAAAACAAATATATACATGTAAAAAATATTAAACACAAGTGCAAAAAAAAAAAAAAAAACAAAACAAACAAAAAAAAATATAGAGAAGAGGACAATGAGTAACTACCTACCTGACCTGCTGCCTGCGTCCCCTGCGAGTGGTCTCGCCATAACATTTGATGGGTTCTCCAAAAGCTCCAATTACCTACACGTACGACAAAAACAACCATGCATTATGGTTATTACACATCTTGGTAATGCATTGAATAGTTAACAATGGCGTGGTGTGTGAGGTCATTCTCACTTCTGGGTTTGACTTGACTATGTTGAAGGCTTTTCCATAAACCTTATTCGGACTAGAGGAAGAGAACAGCTCCTGGAAAACTACATACAACAGCCCCCCTAACAAAGATGGGGGAAAAAAACAACATTCACTTGACATAATGTGGTGATGAAGATTCAAAATGATGAATAAAAGCTTAATATACCTGTTACTCCAAGGCCGACGAGAATAACAATCAAGTAGGTGAAGTCTCTGCCAGCATTCTTCACTGTAAACAACCAGGGTTGAAAGAATTTAGAACATGCGCAAAAGTAACAACATGGAAAGTTCTCAATGTGTGCTTTAACAGCTCCCACCCGTCCACACAAGGGACTGGTCACAGCATCATTTTTGCTAAACAAATGACCACTAAAAATTAAACATTTTGTGAGAACCTGACTCATTTTGTCTTAGATTAAATTGTAGATATTAGATTTCATAACAAAAACGTCACTTTCCGAATAAATATATTTATTTACTATAAAATAAATAAATTATATGTACATAAGAATATTCCGTACCTTTCTGTGCAGCTGAAGACGCCGGACTACCACCCTGAAACCTGGACACCGACTTGTCTCTGTCACCGGAACTGATCTTGTTCCTGAGCCTGAAGTCCACAGAAAAACAGCGTGCTGTGTTCGCCTGGTTGATGCAGCACAGAGTCGGCAACAGAGAAATAGGAGCCTCAGTCCTTCTGTGGAAGGTCGGCATGGACACGACAGTGGACACGGTCCTGTGTGTGTGCACCAGATAACCGACCTGTGTCGCCCTGTACTTCTGCTGCAAACTCCTTCTCAGGGCTCGGACTATCTGGTTATAAGCCATGATTGTGGGCTCTGACACAGACAGAACGGGTTCTTTAAAGCAGTAATAAAGGTTAATATTTAAAAAGGGTCGATCTAATTGAGGCAGAGTAATTAACCCTCAAAACTACATGACTCAAATAAATCGAATTAAAGTGTCGGCCATGGTTCCTTGTTTGGCGCACGCGTTTGACGTCACTTTGACGCCAGTGGGTCATCATGGGAAATTGTGTACCATAGCCTCAAACATGAAACGAACAATTTACTTTAACGTTCACACCTGTGGTCAATTGAGTGTGTACATGTACAGCTTTTTCCATAACCATTTCTTTCTAATTGTATTCTTTTATTTAAACATGTTTAAACACATTCGTTTCTAAACCAAAAATTTAGTTTAATGAAGTTAAGTCAGTCACAGTTATGTCAGTAAACATGTTTTTTTATTGAAAACACATGTCCAGCATTTGGTCTTTAAATGTTAATGGATTTTAAAATACAATGGAATTAAGAAATATTTTAAAAAGACTCAAACATAAATAAAAGTTAATGTTAGGATATCAGAAAAGGTGTTGTTATAATTGTTAGTCGATGGATTAGTAAAACCATTCTGACACCCTTTTATTAAATTCACATGACTTTATTTCATACATCCTAGTGTTCTGTCTTCTCAACAAGGCTGTTGGTAATTGTTTAGATATTTATAAAAAAAAAAAAACAACCTTATAGTCTACTGTTAAAACATGGCATGAAAAAATATAATTGAAATGCAGCAGCTAAAATATGACATCTCATATTTTATGGTTACATGAAAAATACTAAAACCTGATTTTATGTGTGTGTGTCATAAACAGTTTTACATTAAAGGTTGTCTATTTCCCAAAAAAAAAGAAAAAAAAAAAAGGGCAGGTATTTAAAAAATTATCAATGTTCCATGGCTCGTCAGTTCCAGCCAGTCGCGGAGCACGGGGAGGGGAAAATGCACCTCTGTGATCCATAGGAAAGACATGAAACATGACGCATACACCACAAACCTTTTTTTGTTTTGAATTTTCTCATCACAACACTCTACACTGGTAAAGTCACTGAGGGCCAGAGTTCACTCAAGATGCATAAAGGTGGGAAACCTTAGCTCCAAATGTTGTCAAACTTGGCAAGATGCAGAAGAATGATGCATCTGTCTGATGTATCTGCAAAGAAATGAAAACACCATTACTCCAAGTTTCCTCTGAGCTCTTCCGTCTTCTCATCTGCTTCCTGGGCTGCTGGTTCTGACTTCAGTAATGATGTTTCCTCCTCCACCTGTGGAGAAGGTGAATGGTGTGTTCGTGCAAATGTATGCAGAGTTCTGTGGTTGCGGGTATTTCTGACCATCTGAGATAGTGATGCTGACACAGACAACACACTGAACAACAATGTTGGTGTAGAAAAGAAAAAAACATTTTATTTGGAATCTGCAGGATCATGAGTGTGCTGATGTACATGAAGGGAACATAAGGTGGGATGCATGGATGTAGTGGTTGCAGTACAGTACATACATTGAACTTAATCACATAACAGTGTACACAAAATGGAAAAATACTACAACACTGTCACATCAAGAAAATCATAGAACTGGACCGATGACAGATAATAAGGAAGAAATGCAATACACAAGTGTATGCATCACATGTTTCACATGTCACTCTAGTCAGGGTTGAACAAAGTTTTTCAAAGTAAAATTCTTACTCGAGCGAATTCTTTTCACCATAAAATGTGCGGCACGTTACAAAGTTTCACTAGGACAAAGTTAAAAGGTACTTTAGTTTGTTTTGGTTTCAGATTCCTAGGAATACTTTGTAGGATATTTCCTAAAACCATGGATGAGAGACTGGGATGTCCGTGTTCACATTTTGATGACACAATAAATGGCAACTGACAGGAAGCCAGTAAAACAAGAAAGAAATGAAACGTCACTGTTATGTTTTCCATAAAGCATCAGTGAAATCAGCCCTGTAAGATTGTAACTGTAAAAAGTGTCCTTGGTTCAACTGGCCTTAGTAAAAAAGTTTCTCCGATACAAAGATACTGAGCTCCAACAGTGGAAAAGAGTTAGAAGAAAAGCAGACAGAGTAAATGTGTCTGCAGAACAACAACTATTTCTGTCTGTACGGCCAATAAAACTGAACTAAGTAAAAAACAAGTTTAAAAGTGTTTGTCGAAATAAAAACGGTGAGTTTTATTCCTGCCTTTGTATTTATATCTAGGGTTTGCTAATAGCTGCATGCACGCTAATTAATTAACTTTATGTAATGTACTTACATTAAAAAAATCTTACTGTTGGACTATAAGAAAAATGAACGTGTTCTAAACTAAGTCCCAGATGCTTTTATACAGAGCGGTGCATTTTTTCCAACCACACTTTTTTTTTCTTTTGTGAAGGAGATTTTTTTCTAATGCAAGGTGAAATAATATATTATAAGCTCCATTAACAACAGAAAAGTATGAAGTAAAGCATAGAAAGAGATGTAGTAGTAAAAACATGTATTCTGTATATTAGCTTGGTAAGCCTGCATGACTATTGTATTTGTGGACACTGTGTTGTTATATAATGGATGCATATATGGGAATCATGCAAAACCATACAGCCTACTTTAACTGTCATGTCAAATCAACAGCATAGGACCATTTCAATGTTTTTCAACTGTTTGTCATAAATAAAGCTTTGCTCCAACCCTTAATAAGAGGCGAACACCCCTCCCCATGTGGGACAAACTGACTTCATTGCTATTAAATAATATTATGTTTGATCATTTAAATACATGCCTTAAAATTAAGTTGAAATGTTTCATCACATTGATTTTGTTCTCAGTGCTGAATCTATGACAAAGACAGACATAATCAATGGCTACGTCCATGTATTTCCAGTGAGACCACAAAAATCTGGACACTCTACGGTACGTAAAAGCCGAAACTGAAATCAAACTGTTGACTGATAAAAACCAACGGCGCCCGCGGCTGCCGTCTGTGTTCCTCTTTGTACGAGGAGGAATACACATTCACTATCCGTCAGTGTTGTCAAAGTGTCCCTCCGACCAAAAAGCATCAGCACCAGCATCAGCATGGAGCTGACGTAAATCTCCACTCCTCTCTCTCACATGTCAGTGACGCCTCTTCCACCTGATCCAGGATTTCAATAGTCTCAAGAAGTCTACATGATGGAAACAATGGAACAAAATGTAGAAGATGAGCGTGCATGAGCACAGACATGGACACACACTCAAATGCATACACAGAACAGAGCAGCATAGTGTAACAAAAGAAGACAATAGAGCTGTGTGTAGTACTTCATGTGAACGCTCCACTGTACTCAGGTATATTCATTCATGTTATTATGTAAGTAAATACTTCAGTGTTTTTCAACCTTGGGGTCGGGACCTCATGTGGGGTCACCCGGAATTTAAATGGAGACATTCAAAATGCCTAGTATTACTACTAAAATTATAAAAAAAAAATTCAACTCATTATTACTATTTTAAAATTATGATTCAAAACCACAAAGAAACAACTTTCTGCTCAGTAAGCAATTCTTCAGAGCCTACACATGAAATCTCCGACACGGACTCGTATTTTGTGCTTCAGAAAAAATCATCTCAAAGTCTAAAGTTTGCAACAACTACATGCAATGTCTACAGAGGAACCTGTGTGATGAGAAAACACTGCAACTATTTCACTATCCATTATGTGCTTTACTTTAATTGAAAAATACCAGTTTGAGTTATGATAATTGCTAACAACTTGAAATAAAAATGCTTCAAAAGGTCCATGCGAGTGAATGAATATCCACTGAATGATGTGTGCGTATGTCCTCCAGCAAGGACATACAGTTACCTCCAGCATCACAAACACTTAAAAGACTCACTCGGAGGACAAGATGGCTGCAAGCAAGGAAGCCATTTTGGTAAAAAACAACACACACACATAAAATATAGATATAAACTTGTGCAAAAAAAAACAACAGAAAGTAAGATTTTAATTTGAAAAAAATATAAAATAAAATAAAAAACACTGACTGGAAAATGAAGGCCACACAACAACATGTAAAAAGGTTGATTGCTGGATATTGGTGCTTACCTTGAGATTGTCTCTTAGACCCTAGTTGTGTTGTACTCTGATTCATGTTTGCTCAAAGAGCCAATGAGGCAGAACCTGAAATGTTACGGCTCTTTCATTTAACATCATTTTTTTCTTTTGCAAAAAAAAAAGAACATTCTGTGCTACTGTACATGACAGGAATTGCTGACTAGCTTTTGCTCATCGTAAGTCTGAAAGTCTTGCATGCAGTGGTACGGTCGAAAACGCCAGGGGAGGGCCAGGGAGGGCACATTTAAAGTGCATGCGGGAGAGAGGTTGCATGTACAAGTTCCTTTTTCAAAGAACAGTGCATTATTGTCGTTTTTTTAAAGATGCCAAGGTGCACAGTAAAATTTTAGGTATTTTTAAGTTTATGTTGGGATAATCAGGCACCAATTCGAGCTCTTGTGCTAACAGCCAAGACTGATAACAGATTTTTAACTGGAATGAATTATAAAATTTATATTACTATATATTATAAATAATGCAACTGATGTAAACGTCTCATTTAAGTTAAAAACAGACTAGAAATTCTTGGCGTGTTGAAGGACGAGCATGCAACAGGTGGCGCAATCTTAGTCCTTTGTAAATGATGCATTTTCCTTAACAAAAAGCAGAACGAAAAGCAAGATATAAAATGTAATCAGAGAAAAAGGGGAGAGCAAATCTAAAGTAAGAAGGAAATTAAAAAGTAACTTCCACTCATTCATTTTTACTATCATTTACTTTACTTTAAGGTTGTTGATCTCCCCTCATTATAAAAATCGACAGATACGCACCGCTGTACTGCCTTTTCGTGGCGTGAAAGCCGGTGGCTGGTGCTGGGAACTTCTTCCAGGTCGTCGTCAAGGTCACATCCATTGTCTGCTGCCTCTTGTGAATAGCTGTGCTTCATGACCATGATGCTCCTGCGGTTTCCCGTGGTGGGCAGCAGGGGCCTCACTGACATCGGTGGCTGTGGAAGATCTGTGAGCAGGGCTGCGGCTGCAGCATCCCGAGCGCACAAGTTTCCGCGGCTACCTCGTCCACTGAGTGATAGCTGGGATATGTGAGCAGACCCAGGGTTTGAGGAGGTTGTCCCACAGTGGTGATCATGGACACATCGTGATGAGGCACGGCGGAGGGCATGGTAGTTCTCAAAGTCCTCTGCCAGGTCTACAAAGTCTGCAGATGCGGCTGCAGTGGCACTGCGTAAGGTGCACAGCTCATAATGTGGCGGCTCAAAGACCTCCTGGAACATGGTGGGGTCAAAGTCCTCACGCCGCAAAATGTACTTTTTGCGCGGCTGCTTGATCTGCACTATGACTGAGACTATGAGGAGGATGAGGACGATGCAGCAGGTGACGCCAATGATAGTCCCGTTGGTGTTGTTCAGGTTGTCAAGGATGTTGGCTTTCCTTTTCTCTGTGGAAGACGCACAGGCAGCAAAACAGAAACAGAAAGTTTAAATCTTAAATTAGCCAAAGAGGATTAATACCACGATTAAAAATCACATCAGACTTAACACGTCCTTCTCTCACTGCCCGATGGCTTCCTTAATTTTGACTTTTATTTTCATCATTGGTTGGTAAGTATAACTGAGCATATGTTTAACCAAAGGGTTTTTGTGCTGATTTAAACAGTGCAGTTTGGATTGTGATGTTTTACTTCATCATTACAAAAATACAATACCCTCCAGTTGATTAGAAAATGTTTATTCAAACAGTACCAGCATTTCTGGCCAGACCGGCTAATGACTTATTGTGATTTTATTCTTAAGTATTGTATAAATGTTTAAATTATGTAAAAACAATGCAAATTATCAATGTGTGGCGCTTCTTAGCACTGTGCAAAATGATCCAGTTATAAATGTCTTAGCTTGGGATAAATCCTACCATGTCCTACAGTGGAGTAGTTCTGTTTTTGGACATCTGGAAATACTGTCATCATGATAACTGACACATATGGTACACATATTTACCAGACCAAACCGTCACAAAAATTTAAGTTCTAGGGAACCACAGTACTAAACCGTCACAAAAATTTAAGTTCTAGGTTTAATTTAATTCCTTTTTAGAAACCCTAGCCTGTTTGGTTGAACACAACATTGATAAACTTGCAGATCCCTAATACAATAATGGTCATTAAAAATCAAGCAACAGAAGACACAATAATACATCAATAATAGTGCAGTCTTTGGCTAATACTGTAGCCTGATGGTATTTGATGAAAACACACTGCAGATTCAGCTGTAGAATATAGATCATGTCTGCAGTTGTCAGCAACATCTCTCACATAAACCTTTAACAGTTGCATTCATTTGAGAGAATCTGAAAGGGCTGATGTATCTGTTTTTTTTTCAACAACTCTGACACAGTAAAAACAAATTATTGTTATTTCACTGCCAGCGCTGTAGCAAAAGAGCAGAGGATCAATGTATAGATCTCTGTCTTTAAAATGCTGAGGCTTTCATAGTATCACATTGTAAGTGAGTACACAGGAACTTGTCCCTGTGAGATGAGGAAACCGAAATGACAGCAGCTTCCAAGAATAAAGGCAAAGCCATGACTGCATGACAGCAGTTCTTGGGCATCAACCTGGTGGGAAACTTGACAACATGGACCTTGCTAGTACATGTGTTGCAGCCCAGTTTATAAATTTATAAAAAAGAGAGAAATGTTTTTCTTGATGATTTCTCTTGATGATTTCTAATATAACCTCCCCCCCAAAAAAGCTGATTTACTGTACAAACAAGTAAGATCGCTGTCCGTGGTGCTGAAATCTGGAGCTCTTGTCAAACAAAAGAGAAGCCTTAATCAGTACTTTGGATGTTTTTTTTTCATGTTTCTTCTTATGTCCTCTCCCACAGTGCTGTGTTCTATTATCAAAGAATATGTGGGGGAAAATCAAGTTACATCTCACCTTTACACTGGTTCTCATCCCAGGGGTAGACACAGTTCTGCATGCCATTACACACCAGTGTGTTGTTTATGCACATGTTGCTGTGGCAGAAGAAGGCATCTGCTTCACATGGAGCTGGAAAAGTAATGGGAAAAATTCATGTGATCCACACCACAAGACCTATAACAAACTCCTTTGGTGAATTTCATGGATGTTTTTTTTCAAAAACCTGCAGTCCCATCCTTAATGGTTTAGTAAATATGTTCTATCTATTTGACATATACATAACTTAAAAAGCAAACACCACAAGACCTATAACAAACTCCTTTCTACAGTATGTTTAAACCCTAATGACTCGCTGCACAGACCATATCAACACATAACCAGATGATAAACATGAGACAGAATGTTCTTGATCACATGACATCTGCCCTTGCAGTGTGACCTGCATAAGACATAAAACCGCTGTTGACTCCTCCTACCTTTCAACACACATCAGGATCATTGGCCTTAAATCAGTCTGATAATGCAGCCGTATCCATCATGATCAAGCTGTGTTATTGAAAACAAAGGTGCCCTTGCTTTCATGAACCATATCGTTCCAATGATCACATTAATGCAGAAGACTCCTGTGATATTACAGCACTGTGGTGACGAGGTAAATATGTACAGTATCATATAATGTTGTTGAAAAACTCAACCCACAATGGCAGCGACGTTGTTTTAGGACACTTTCTATTATAAATAGGGCTGCAAATGGAGATGGAAATGGAAATGGAGAATGGAGATTGTTGTTCACATTTCTGAATATGATTAAACGGTTTTCTGTCGCTGTCCTCCGCTCTGTGAGGCTGATCTGAAGCAAACAGGAAGTGTAAGCCACTGCAGATGTATGCTGGGATAGTATTCCAAGCTTTATTATCTTTTAAAAAAAGTTATTTTAAGCTTGAGGTGCTTAAAAAGTTGTAGTTTGCAGTTTGCAGTAGTACTGTAAATGACAACATGTATATTTGAGTAGATCATATTAACCTATTGATCCAACATGGGGGAAATTATCAGGGAAGGACTGATCTATGATTAAATAATTGTTGGAAATATTCTACTGTAATAGTTGTGTTTCACAGGAAGGCTCCTCTACTGTTATGCTAATTTATTCAAGGATTTACCTATGCAGAAAAGTAAAAAAAACAAACACAATAGCACATACTGGTGGTGATTCCAAATGCCCTGAGGTGTACTTTGTCATGGAAGTGAACAAAAGCAGTTTCATAGTGGAGACTCTTCCTCTCACCCTCTCTCTGTCCATCTCCCTCCTTCCTCTCCTGTGTGCCTCACCTTCCTCATCTCTTTTTCCCCCTCTCCACTCAGACACACAACATTGGCACTTCCTTCTATAGGGTCTTGGCAGCAACAAGGCAGTACCGGGGACTATTTGACAGTGTTACCACTGTGATGTATGGCTGTTTTCATCCCAGCCTCCATCTCAAGTGAATAATAACACACCAAATTAGAGTGACTTATCTCTATCTCTGTGTGTCCCACTCCTGTCCTGTCTGGGATTTTGCCAGCATTTCTTGGGGCCCGATGGCTCTTGGTAGTTCCTATCCTGCTCTCTCTTCTTTCCTTCTACGATTTTTCTCCCTTTTTTTAACACCGTAAATGCCATAACTGCCATATTTTTTGTTGACAATCACCAGAGGGAGCCCTTTCCCATCCGGCTGCCGAGTCTTCACTTCTCCTCTTTACAGTACAGCGTGAGACCAGGTAATGAATGGAATGCAGTACATACTAATCTGCTGCAAAATTAATTTCAAGACTGCCCGCACTGAAACATTTGCAGTCATTGCTGAAAGCATAAATTAACTCCTAAATGAGTGGCTGATGAAACCACACTTGGAGTCTCTACAGATATTTTGCACTGAAGTGCTGGGAGACATGCATGCTTATAATGGAAATTTCCTCCACTTAACTTAAATAAACAATATAGATTTGTGTTTTTTTAGTTTGGTTTAATTGGAAATTAAATTAACTATAATAACCGTGTTGTGTATTGGAGCGGAAAATTATGTATTTGCTACGATATTTTTTGTGATTATGTCAAAGAGATTTTTTAGGTTGCGACGGAAGGAAAAGATTTGATTTATTTTTTTGTGAAGCTGTTTTTAAGCTCTGATGATAAGCCCACTTGTTTTTTCTGTGTATTCTAGTACACTTATTCCCAAATGAATCAGCCTTGGAACACACATTCATCCTGAAGCATTTGGTCTTGACCCAATTATTATAACCATTTTTAACAACACAATGTAGTAAAGCTGAATATTTTGGGGCCTAAACTACAGATCACTAATATTCATAATCCTGTATCGTATGCACTGTTATGAGTAACATAGTAATTAACGATCATATAAACCTCATGTGACACCGGACCCATCCATACATCTACAGTTAAAGTTTTCATTAATGCAGCTTAATTAAATACGATTTGATTAAATTATAGTTTGCAATGAAATTACAAGCACCGTTCTAATGTTCTATGTAGAACAATGGAAAGCAGCAAGTCACGGCACTTGTCTCTGTTTGTATTCATGAGGCTAACGCCTTAATCTGCTTGTTCTGGGGTTTTACATCGCAACCACAGTAAAAATAAAATCACAAAAGTACGTTCATGCTGGTGCTTTCTCTCTCTCTTTTATCTCTCTCACACTTATTATTTGTGTGTGTCTCTCTCTCTCCCTCCTTGCTGATCTCCAGTTTAAACAAGTAACTACATTACATCTGTTTAAAGCATATTTAATTGATCAAATAAGAGGAAAAAGGAGCACAACTGTGATCCACTTTCGGGCCCTAACCCACCACTCTAACCCACCGCTCTAGTAAACCTGTCAGTGGAGATGATGTTATCTGGTAGACGTCCTAATAAAGACCACTGATGTTGGAAATATCACTGCGCTCTGTTGGTCTTGAAAGCTTTCACCCATAAAATTAAGAAGGTTCACAAGAAAAGACACGGTTAGTGTAGTGAAGCTAAAGAAGAATTTCAGGAGAAGCCCAGGAGACAGGTATTACCAGATGAGGCGGAACATCCGCTGACAGCTGAGATCCAGTAAAGAATCGCCACAGACATTAATAGCTTTTAATGAATTAAAAAAAAAATCAGTGTCAACTGTGTGTGTGTGTTCTGTGGTTGGTTGTTTCTTACAGTTATAAAAGGATTCAGATTCAAGGTTATGGAATTGAGTGTGCTAAAGAAAAACACACAAAAGTAAAGCCACAGTTCATTGGAGCATTGGAATCCCTTAGCTTGTATGTCTCTGCTTCTCCAGCGTCAGTAAAGTCGGTTAGAGTTTAATTTAACAGATGCTAGCTTCTGTCTAAACTCATAAAAAAAGTTTTAGAGCAATAAGTAAAAAAATATTACAATAATACCAATTAATGTGATTGGACACCATTTTAAGATCATTTCAAGTTGTTATGTAATTATTTGGTTTCTACATTTGTCGTTTATAAACTAAGTTTTGTTGCAATTCAGTCGAGTGTTCAGCCCTGGCTTTTATATAATTATTAAGACTCAACATCTGTCCTGTTGTGATTCACCACTGACTCAGACATGTCTGTCATTAAGGGGATTTTACTAAATCTGGTCACAAGTATTCAAAGCTACGTGTCTAACTTAACCGAAAGCATTTGAACGATTAAATAAAACTTTAACATTCAGCTCATTGACAAGGCCTTTCAAACAGCATTCGTAGCAGTCCCCAGCAATGACAACAGGGGGTGCTGCTTGTTATGCAGAATTGTACTTGGGCATTAGGAGGTACATCGTGTCCAATAATGTCTTGTCAGAGACATTTTTTTTCTGGGGTTCAGTCGTTGCTGTAAGGCTCTTGTTTGAATGAGAAGCCAAATATGAATAATATCAGAGTCAATTAATCAAAGTCAGGACAGTCAGTGCATTTTTTAAATCAAGAATAATTCTGCAAACGAGTGTGTCTTTGTGTGTGTGTCTACAAAGACAAAAAGAGATTTGTGGAAGCAGCAGGTGTGAAAAGAAAAAAGGATAAAACAAAAAATAATAATGAGGCTCACGTTTGGGAACATCCTTCCTCTACCAGAACAACTTACTGGGAGTCAGCAGGTATGAATGGTCCTCTAAAAGCTACTGGTCCCACTGGGATCCAGCTAGTGTGAAGAAATGTATAAAGGCTTAGGTTGTGCGGTCGCCAGGGAACATTTACTCTGAAAAGTGCTCTGTAAGCTGCAAATCTACTTAATGCACCTGTAAGCCAATATGCGCGAGCGGCGCACACTTGCAGTCGTAAGCACAGTGGCTTTCTTTAACGGGATCAGAGGATTAGACAACATTTGTTATGTATGTGTATCACAATGCTTATTTAGCTTCCTAACTTGTTTCTGATACGTTTGTTTCAATGGTTTTATTTTCGTCTCATTAAGAGAAGAATATTATCAGACCGTCACTATCATTTTAGACAATACAGTATTTGAAGAAAACTGAGTCAAATATAAATATAATAAAAATAATAAATATAAAATTAAAAACAAAGACAAATAAAACTAGACCATAGTTAACACAGCCAAATGAACGGAAAGTGAGCAGAGCTTTTACACCAATAGCCCATTTCAATTGATATAACAATCAAATTAACACGCACAATGTTGGTTAAATAACTCTCTTGAATAACTTCCGTGTTGTAATTGATGCATTATAGCTCTATGGCACCACAGGCTTTTATAGTTATTATACAAGTACAAGTTGTGAATGTACTTCCTTTAAGAAAGCCACACTCTGGCTCCACAGTACAAGTCATAGCACTCTGCTCTGTATGGTCCCTGAATTATTGTAGGATTCTAGAACTATAAAGTGAATGAATTAATTTTATAAAAACCTTAAGACAGGGTACGTCATAAACAACTCAGAAGAACAACTCTAATTGTAATTTTATTCTGCCCCATCTTTTACTAAATCACATAAAAAAAAACTTGACCTCAAGTCAGTAAACTCTACATCACCTTCTGACTGACAGCATATTAGAATAAGCCGGAAGACTCCACAGGTCCCTGAGTGGAATACTGTGTTCCATCGTTTCATAATTCAAAAATGAAAACAAGGTGAAAGCGCACACCAGAGTGAATCACTTGTTCTACGGTGTATGCCTTCACTCTCTCTCACACATACCAGTTCATTGGCAGGTTTGACACGGTTGGTGCAGTGCTGCTGAGCAGTGGTGGATGTAGCTCTGAAGGCTGAGGTCTGACTGTGGATCGCCTGAGTGACTAAGGCAGCAGCGTTGCCCCGGCAACAGCACATCCTAGCTTTGCTTGGTGAAAAGGCCTTACAAAAGGGACACTGACTTCACAACACAAACAACTCTGCTGCTGCAGCTGCTGTCGCTGTCATCTGCTGAAGCAAGTGACCAAAATATCACATCCTATCACTACAGCATTCTGTAAACATCGGTGCTCGTGGTGTACTAGACACTCCATGTAACCTGCAGTTTCTCTGTCTGGGTTTGATGATTCGGTGTGCGCTTATGAGAACTGTGTGGTACCTATAAAAACTCGTACCGGCTACTTATAAGCCCCAGAGCAGCCAGGTCCACGTCACTGCTATAAAGAACGCCCTCCACAACCTCTATCAAAACAATAAGCTCCATCATTAAAACATGCTTCTTTTTTTTTTTTTTTAATGGCTGACGCAGACTTTGCCTTTCAGTGTTTTTTTTTTTAAATCCCTGCGCCCTTTCAAAATTTAACAATGCACTCGTTCTACCTGTGGTGCCTCAGCAGATCTAAGAAAAAGAGAAAAAAAATCCTTCTTTTATGTTAAGACAAAATCACCCAAAGGCCATATTCCTTGTAATAGGAATCATGTTCCATGGCTTCCTGCTTGGGGCAGATTAAATGGTCGTAAAACTAAATGGTATCCACTGACAGCATCTTTCAAATGAAGAGTATCTGATATCAATCTTCATAAATGTGGTCTCCGCGTCTCCATCTACCATTAATCACAACCACTGTCCATTTCTGCTTTACAACAGTGTCGCTGTGATCTGATTAACAGATCGCATCAGTTGATCTCGTCAGGGTGTTTGCAGTAAAATACCTGGACGATTACTGGGATGTGTGAGTGTAGATGTGGGCTCTCAGAGTGCACTCTTACGTTCTTGGTAGGTTGTGAAAAGGATGCGAAAGCGACTCTTGCGGCTGGCCTCGTCCGCCCACATGCGGATGACACCCAGCGTGGAGACGAGCATGATGTCATTGGCCACGGTGGAGCAGAACTTGCTCTTGAGGTCTTCCACTGAGCTGAGAGGAAACAGAAGAACATTGGACGACATTGTAAATCAATGATTTGCCATTTGAACGTGGTTGAAAACAGAAGAGTTAATGAGTTAAAAAGTCATACCTGCCGCCGTCGTACACTGCTACAAAGTTGCGCTTGCACTCGTTGGAATTCGCCATTTCATAGTCGAGAAAACGCAGGTAGATCTGTGAATTGCCAGAAAACAGGCAGAAGATAAAACGGGGGGAAATGAAAAAAGATAAAGTCAGGTGAATTAAGAGATGATATATTTGCTTGTGACAGTGTTTAATGAATAAAGCGAGTAAAACAGGAAAGAGACAAATGGGAAGGATTTCAGCTCCATTATGGTCTCTGCATCTTATTTGTTATCCCGGCGCCTGACGGAGCGGCGTTTTAATGAAATAAGACTGACAGACTGCAGCTTGTACAAAGTCATTACAGACGCATATCAAATGAAGAGTCGGAGACAGACAGAATCTATTAGCTTTGCGCTCATTATCCATTTGTGTTGGGATAAAGCATTACACAGAACCCAGCAGGCTTTGAGTGTGTATGCGAGGAAGTGTTACCCACTCACAGTCAATTTAGCAAAGACGGTTGCTGTTATTTAAATAGCGGTTTTATTGACAGACTTGCGGAGAGTCTGGAGTTTAAAATGAAGACTATGAAGACAAATGATGTTATTTAATCCTTTGTTATACCAAAGATCTGCTTGGCTAATAACTCTGACCCCTTCACAACAGCTTCTCAGTTACTTCTGTCTTATCACCTGTCACTCATTCATCAAGCTGAAACCACCCAATCACAGCCACAGTTCTGGTTGGCTGCACACTGCACTCACCATCATTAGAGTTAATGAGTGGGACACTCCCAAACTGTGACATGGAGGACCGGGACAACAAATGAGCAGAGCTGCATATTGAGAATGATAATGGACCAAACAGTGTCAACTTGGATCCAACGACATGACAAGTGAAATGGACTGAAGGGTGAAAATAAGCTGGACAAGTCCTCTGAGGTCTGACGCCACAGTCGATCATTTCCAGTTTAATTACATAGTCAGATTTCTTCACAGCGTTGGTGAAAATGAGACTGAAGTAAGATTTTTGGCAGAATCAGGAACGACACGGAGCAAAGAGACGGCTGTGAGCTTTTGTATTTTTGACCACACATGGGAAATGAGTGCTTTTCAAAAGTCAATTTCTGTAAAAAGACAGCATGATCCTTATGTTGATAATAATAAAGTGACAAACCAAGCAGACAGGACTGCATGATTGAGGAGACACTGAGGAGGACACTTTGTGTCAAATGTCACTGTTGAGTGGTTTAGTCTGAAATATCACAAGGGTGTTCTCGTACCGGGCCTTTGACAATGACAGAAAGCTAAGACGGGACACTTTAACGTGATTTTAAAGTAAGATGGAATAATTCAAGGAGACACAAAAGACAGTGTCAGTCGTGTGAGTACTGCTTAGTGATGATAAGAGTTGTCACCAAACTAAAACCTAGACTCAAAAGCAGCATTTAAACCAGAAGAAACTGCACAAGCAAATAAAAATCAATAACAAATAATATTGTTTTTCTTTAATACTGTAAGACCTGATCTTCATTATTGTTACTGTAAGAACCCACTACGGCTGAAAATGTGCTATTTTAATAGCATGGACTTCTTACATCTAATAATGTTTAAGGAAATTCTCCTGGGATTCTGATATTTATGATTGTCTACTTGAATCTAATATAAGTTTAAATAATCCAATATATGCACCACCATTTGTGTTATTATGTATGCATGTTATATTAAAGCATTAATTATTGATTACAGTAAATAATTGAATAATATCTAGGAATTAATTGGTGTTTGTCTTCAATAATTAACCCTTTGTTTACGATAAAAAGTGTTCTCACTGCAAATGGTTTAATTTTACATCATAGTTAGTATAAATGTGCACCTAGTGCACATACACGATAATTAAGTGGGACATTTTTTTTATCTCTCGCTGCTAAGTTGCATCACTGTAGCTTTATTCTTTGACTGCAGTAAATTTATGTAAGTATATTTTATACATTAAATTAAAGGGAAAAACTCACGACGTTTGATGCAGTTGGCTCATTAGCAGTGAAGCTTCACTCTGCTTGTATTTTCTTAATATTCCCCTATTTTCTTTCCTCTTAGAGATGGAAATATATTTATATCATTCACTGATGTAAGTCTTCCAGCTGCTACTTCAATACCGTCTGGGGAGTACTGAAGTACTGAAGCCAGTCATGAGGTGAATTTCATATATTCGTTGGGCACTAACTAGTCTCCAAATTTTAAATGTATTACTTGTTAGAATAATGAAACATTTTGCCAAAAAAAGACAATGTTTCGACGAGTTAATTTATTGTCCAAGGTGTTTAACCTGCACTCATAGCACCCGCTGTAGGGGAATCAGAGGTCACTATTCACTATTTTGTATGCATAGACTGTACATTTTTCCTTTAACATGTTTGAAGAGCCATAAGAAATAAAGATAAGAATAGCATTTTCAAACAGATGGGATTTTGGTTAAAGGGAGAAAAAAGAGCTGGAGGGAAAATAGTTTTTTTAATTTAAAACAGAGTAGTAAGAACTGGCAGATAATGTTTGAAAATGAGAATGCATTTAAAGGCAGCAGTCTGCGACCGATATAAAAGGATTAACTCTGGGCAGACGGATTGCAAATAAGAAAATGTTGTTAATTAAAAAAACATTTTCTTTTTAATAGACTTCATTTACTGCTAATACCTGACAAGAGCTACAAAATAAGTAAAGAACAACAATCCACAACATTAGGCATCAGGGCTGACTTCAGGCTGAGATTCAGCAACATTAACAGTCCTTCAGTCAGAATCACAGTTGATGAACTGTAAAACCTAAAACAAAAACACTAATTAACTGTTTGTGTGCTTCTGCCCATGTATGTTATATTAACCACAAAGTAAGGTCATCAACATAGTGATGGTTTTATCTGACTGATAGCAAAGTGCTATCACTTTGAATGCGAGTATGTACAGTTTGCCTTTGCATTTTTCTACATGCACTGCTATGGTACCATACCTATTTTGCACCAATGCATCCCTGCCCATAAATTGTTAGCTGGATGAAGCATCAGAGACAAAGAGACATGTCCCACAGGGGACAACAAGGACACTAAAGAGGCTTTGGAACCAGGAGTTGAAAGACACCAAATCACAAGGCTCTATTGGTCACTGCTGCTACAACAAATCTTTTTAAAATACCAAATTTTACACTCACTTAAGCAATAACTTGCAGGCAGCTCCAGTGTGTGACTTGGAAAAATGAAGAAGTCATTATCAGAGTCTGTGAGTTAGATAGACTAAATTAAAAGCTCTTCATTTATGGATTTTGCCATAAGTCCTGTAACTGAAAAATCCAACACAAGGCCACATTGTAAAACGACAAAAGCCAGCACAGATAAAATCAACACTCTATGAGGATGGAGAGCGTCTTCCGCTGGAAAATGAGCTGCCTCTCATTGATCCTGCAGCACATGCCGTAATAACGGCAAAGAATCCAATAACTGAGTGGCGAACAATACGTTTTTACTGAGCCTTTAAAAAATGCCGGAAACAGTGTGGAAGCTCGCTCATTACAGCCACTGGGGAATGTCCATATTTTCGCCATTATCTCCATGAACAGACGTGGAAGGTGACAGACAAGTGCAGGCAGGTGTGATAGAGGAACCCAGAACTGAAAAAAAAACAAAAAACCTGACAGACATGATGCCCATGAAAAACACTGCGGCCGCTATGACTCAAAATGATGCACACCAAAATACTCCTCTCTCCACCCAACAACTGTCAGCTGGTTCAAGACACGATTCTGAATGTAATTACTAAGAGAACATAAGTCTGAGAGAGGAAGTTCTCACTATGAAAATAAAAAAATATGCATTTATGTTCTTCAGTTCACTCACTGAGTAGACTTTTTTTATTATTATGCTGGCAACTAACCCTATTAAGTATATAATGTCACTCAACACCAGTAAATTCACTCCAACCTTAATTTAATATGCAAAAAACAAAAACGAGAGAATCGTATAACTTCAATGACCTACTTAAATTCAATTACCAAACAAAAATTAATAATGTTTCTCATTTAGCAGGTTAAGTAAAAAAGGCAGCTTCCACAAAGAACTCACCAATGGAATGACTCACCACCTGACGTTGAACTTTAGGACAGAATTGTCATTCAATTGGAAAAGCAAAGTTTCTAAAATGTGGCACCGCTACACACGTCACAACATACACAAATAAAAAGGTGTAACTGGCGTGCCTGCAGTCCAGAAGTGTCATCTATTCAAAACATCTGGCACATCCTGAACAGGAGATCCGATGACAACAAGCAGAACAGCCTTGGTATTTTCAACAGTGGAGGATGAATTGGAAAACTTATATGCTTGTAAACTTATAAATGGATAAAAACATTCATATAAATTTGGATGTTATACAATGAAAAACTTTTTTTCTGGAGTGTGTTGAATGGTTTAATTTACAAAACAAGATAAATACATCTTTTATACTTTTTAAGGAAGTGCACCAACTCCTCTGTCACTGTGCCACGTGTGCATCTTGAAGTCTTCTCCTATTCCTGGACTCACGTGCCGTTCCTGTCTTTGCCGTTTCACCCCTACACTCCATCTTGTTACATTTATATCTTGGACAAAAAGCATTATTAAGAATTTATTTCCCATTTTTCCTCTTCCTCTGTCCCCTCTCTCCTTCCCCATTGGCCCCCATCTCAGTGGACCACTCTAGTGCAGTCTAATTAGAGCCTCTGGTATAGGATGTCATTATCTCTCTACTGTGTCTGGCACACTGGGCAAAGTACAGCACTGCATCAGCATGGGGAAATAGAAGCATGTGCCCATGCACACACACACAGAAAGTCCTTTGTTAGGGGGTGGTGATGATGGAGGAAAGGTTGTATCTTGTGCAACAGCAGCAACATGTGAGCAGGAGGAAACAGAGAGACTTTCTGTGTCGGCAGCGTGACAGGTACTGGGCCGATGTGGGCAGATATGATTGGCTGAAATCATCAGGCTCCTCTGATTGACTTGTGCTAAAACATTTATTTGCCGTCTCGACTATCAGTGAGAGTGACTGTCTGCCGTTGGCGCAGGACTCGTGCTGTGCAAGTCACGCGCAGGACAGGATGTGACTCGTGATTGGAGCCCGGTAGAACACTGACTGGACTTTGCCGCAGCCTCGGCCACTGTCTGTCTCTGGCTCTTTCATGCATGTGCACGGCCCTGACTTCACACACACAGATTTACTGTATAAACATGACACCCACAAAACTGATTTACAGCCCTCTCTGGGGATGTCGTTTTGGTTGACTTGTGCACTGCACATAAAGGGAATAGGAAATCAGACCTGCTTCTTTCATGAATGATATATTTCAAGTCTGTGTTGCAAAAAAAATTGCTTACTTCCATGTGAATTCCAAACATCGGCGAAAAGGTGTTAGGATCAAAGGAAAGCAAAATAAAGGAAGTTTCCGAGCCTTAGTGTTAGATTTTTGGTGCTTTTGACCAGCCGTTAGTAGCTGCATCTCAAGGACGTCCCTGAATAAGAGCACGTTCTATCTCATTCATTGAGAAATGTGCAAGATAAAGACCGTGTTGGATAAGAGCACCGGTGCGGCCATGAATCAAAGCCACACCAGTTTTATTAGCCACTCATATCTTAAATCACAGAGGACGTGGACGATGCAAGAACAGCATCGTATGACAAATCTGTGAAAAAAAAAAAAAAGATAAAACGGCTGAAAACTAGATGCTCGTTTTTATCAGAAACACATTCTGTGTGGTACCAAATAATTAGAAATACGATGTGCTAAATTAGTAAAAAGGTAACAGGACCCCATCTAATTTCTGAGAACAATGGCTGATGCATATATTTAGATCTAAAAAGACTTTTAATTGTAATGCTACCCTGATGATAACCAACATACAGACACCGACATTTATTTGTGCTCACTGTCCTCTTCTCTTCACTCTTGTGACTCAAACAGGAAAAAGCAGGGATTTTTTAAACCGTTTCTTTTAATTTGGACCATTTATCTTCATTTTTAGTTTTTAGATTTTGGGCAGTGACCAAATGCAACACTAGCCTGAATTATTTTATTTATTTATTTATTTTTTGACCTTGATTAACTTCCGTTTCTGTTTGATTAACTTTCCGTTTGATTTTGTTTTTTAGTGAAACATTGCTATTTGTTTTTGTTTTAGTTGTAACTTGTGAGGCCCCTTTATATTCTGGCCTCCAAAGATCTGTTTAAATTCACTCCCTGGTGATGGATATGCGGATGTTGTGCTGCACAAACTCACATGAACTTCAGTATTTCTAAAATGAAGTCCTGCCTCCATTAAGCCTCTGCCCTCAGGAAACTCAATTCTGGGGCATAGGTGTGTGTTCCTGTGTGTTTGTTCCTGTGTGTGTGTGTATGTATGACTGTATTAGTATATGCATGCAGGGCGCTGTTGACAACACAGGGCTGGAATGTAAAATACAGATGGCTGCAGGCCTTTGGGTCAACCTGCTTGGCAACAATATTACACCCGCACAACCTCCTCCTCCTCCTTCTCCTCCTCCTCATCGTCCTCTCTGCCTCATCTACTCCCCCTTCATCTGTTTATCCCCTCTTCTCCTTCTGTCTCAATATTCTTCCTGGCAACAGCTAGCTGATTTAACAATGTATCCAAACTCAAAGTTAGCTCCACTGCCTCTGTGTTTGACCTTAGGACACCAACAGGTCTCAAACTGAAACCACCAAACAAACAACAGCAAAATATTTTTTTATTTTTTTTAAATTCTGACGTTACTGTGCTGTGTTGTCATCAAACTGGCTGATGGAAACACACAATCTCATTTTATACTATATGACATTTTCAAGTCGGCTCCTAAATCTAATACACTGCCGAATGCGAGCACGGCTGACGTCACTGACCTTGGAGCGTGGCGGAGCACGGATGTACCATTTACAGTCCACAGCCTCGGCAGCGCCAGCCTTCCCGTCTCTGGTGATCTGATGAGACTCAACGATACCTTCTGGACCCACCATGTCATACTGACAGGCTGCACACACACATACACACACAAAGGCACACAACAATAAACAAACACCGTGCAATATGTTCAGTAACTGTAGGTCACACAGTGGGGTATATGAAGATCAAGAGAGTGAGTCAAAGACGGAGAAGACAGGGAAGAAACAGGCAAACAGAGAGAAGGAGACAGGAGGAGAATACCTACAGGGCAGAGGTGGAGGAACTCCCATGTCTGCAAAGTCTGGATCTGAGGAGAGAGCAGAGGAGCGGTGCATTTTTGTTGTTACTGAACGTCAGAATCTTCAGAGAGGCAACAAAAGTCGGCTTTGACAAACTTCTGCAAAAATAACGATAAAACAAACTCCTGACTGATTTTATGATCTGTGTATGTTTTGTTTTTCTCCTTTTTTCCCAAGAAAATTCTAAATATCATTATTCTTATGTTGTAATTTGATCATTTAATGTGTTTAATTTAAGGTTTTAATATATTTATAAAATATTCATGTCCTTTTTCAACATCTTTGACTCTGAAATGTGTCATTATTAATATTATTATAACTGTTGTTGCAGACAGCAAATATTCTACGTTGAATAAAATTCCACAAAATGAATGTAATAACAAATGGCAAAAGTGGGCAGAGCTATTCCCCAGACTGTCTTCAACACTAATGGAACATCACTGTCACATCAGCTCGTCACCATTCTATTGCATATATGTTCTGACTATAATTTATCTAGTGAAAAAGCAGTGGTGTCTTCAAAGACGGGCTGTTAGCTAAGAGCCTCGTTCAGTGTAATTTGAGGACAACCCTGTAATAGAAAACACAAGGAAAGGGATTTGCATTAAATCTGATTGTTCCTTGTCAAATCGAGACATGGCGACCACTGTCTGAGCTCAGTGTGGAAAATGAGCTCTGATTGCACAGCGGGAACACCTTCTCCAAATGTGACTGTTTTTTGTCTGTGTGTATGCCCTAATTTTCTTTTTTTTTCACAGAGACATGACTCAGAGCTTCACTTTTGTAGAGCTGTAGTCGTGGGAACAGAATTCCACACACCTGACCCTCCACACTGTGAGTCAAAGAGGAGACGAAATATGATTGAAGACAGAAGGTGAGTAATTTGACATTTGTCAGAGAAGGAATCTTGACTTTAATTTTAACAATTTAGACTGTTAAATTATTACAAATTCTAATCTAATTAATCACAGGATAGCTAATGATAATCATGATTAATCTACTAATTAGTTAGTCTTAGCAGTTTACAAATGTGTTTTACTTTTGTTTATATATATATATATATACTGTATATATTATAACTTATAATTTTGCATCGTAGAGTTGTTGGAGTTTAGTCTCTACAGTGTCAGTCTGCTTGTCAACCGCAGACTTACTTATCAGCAGTGTGTATAAATAACAACATGATACCAGAGCAACGAAAGTGGAAGAATGGAGGAATTATTGGAAGTATACAGTGTGAGTTTTTCCTGTGCAGTCATTAAAATACATTCATATCATTTATCCTACTTAATTTCACAAACTAATGATCGACTCTAACAAGTACAATTTGCACATATTTCAAAACCAACCTTTCTCTGGTCAACAACTAATGTCACAGAGATGAACTAGGACTCCTGACCATTAAGAAAGTAAACCTCAGGACAAATTCTAATCTGACTCCTCCACAGCTGACATCCTGTGACTCACCCACAGACTGACAGTTTTATAGTCAACACCACAGTCGCGACACTTATTATCCCATTTTAATGGGTAAAACCATATTAAATATACCAGCAGCAATTTTCCTTTTCCTTTTTAGAGAAATAAATCCCGGTGTATTTAATGATATCAGGAACAGACATCTATACAGACTGGGATCTAATGTTGTTGCATTTTAAAACCAGGTCAAGCTGAAGATCCTGGAGTGGATGATAAGATGAGTCCTAACATGGGGCTGAACCATACGATAATCTAAATTCAAAGATATCAAAACGTGTGTTCAATGTCCCCCTCAATAATTGATATTAAGGCATTATTGACCAAGCTCTATTATCAATTGTTATTACTTTTCACCACAGGGCCTCCTTATCTTCAATATTTATCCATGTTCTTTGTTTCCCTGGGGAGGTTCAGTGCAGTGTCGAGGACAGGTGAGCAGGGAGGCATGGGCGATGAGAAAATCAAAGTGGAAGACACTTAATGAAACACTGACCTTCAGGTCGTTTTTGCTGGTTTCACCAGAGATTTATTATTGGGCTTTGGCATCACTTAACCTGACACCATCACAAGGCCAAGGAACCTGAGAGGAATTCATGCATGTGTGAAAGCATGGACACAGACACACGCACACATGCACACTTTTTTGGCACTGAGTGGGTGCTGTTTGCGTATGAATGCTTCTTGTGTGACTTTTGACCTTTTTACACCAAAGCTCCTGAATTTCAATCAGGCTCTCTGCCTCCTCCCGCTCCATCAATCACTCCCTTCCCCTCTCCTTGCCCTTCCTGATTAATCAATTCAATCAATTACATGGATTGATAAGATGATTGATGAACTGTATAAAGAATGTGTACTCCGTTGGCAGCTGCTGATTTAAATGTGTGATAAAGATGAATGTGGGGGGCTTGAGTCACAGGGTGTCATATTTGATGAGTCACAATTCAGCAGCATCTGCATGTCACAGTAAACTGTATACACCTCAGTGAGTACACGTATAAATTAAACCACAGTACACACTGTACTGCTTAGGTGAAATATGTGTAGGTCCCGAGTTGTCATTGAACTCTGCCGTTTTACTATGTTGCCTGCATTATCCTTTCTCCAGAGCCTCCACCTGAGCAGGCTGAGCAGGATTCAGAGCACATACACTCATACCCCCCCGCCACCTCCACTCTTCATAAAGCACTACTTAGAGTCTAATCTTCTGTGGCTTTACTGTATTTACCCTTTGCAGCGTTGAAAATGTTTGAACACGGTTTTGAGGCACACAGACTTTAAATTACGAACATCTATGAGGTAATTAAGAAAAAAAAAAAACATTGCAGTTTTGCTATGATGCAAATGACAGAAGAAATGAAGAAATAAATGCCCAAGGTTTGAAGAAACGATGTTCAAATACCCGGAAATAGAAATAAACATCTTTTCAACAACCATCTCAAGATTTCTTAAACAGACAAACAAAAAAAAAGAGGTACAAATGCCAGCAGTTATTATTTACCCTGGCAAACAGGCAGAAAAACAATGATAAGGAATGTGTTCCATGTTAAGAAATGCTGAAATAATAAATAATAAGTACAGGTTCTGATAAGCTGTGTTTACCTGAGTAATGGGAAATGATTGATAAGAAAACTCCAGTGAATGCACACAGACAAACAGAGATACATTGAATGGATAACTGCAGGAGTGTCAGGCTAAGAACCTGGGTCTGAGTCAGTCCTGTTCTAACGACAGTCCATGCTAGACAATAACATGTAAACAGTTTTAATTCTTACAACTTTGTGGCAACTATTATTTTTCTAGTTAGAATGCAAACGTCTTTGGCCCCATTGATAGGTAGCCCTATTTACGGGCCATCATCAGAATCAGAATTTTGACGTGAAGATTAAGGTGGTGGAATAAATGTTGCTTTTACCTTTAAAGACATTATTAAGACTTCCATCTTGGATATTACTTTTTAAGGACTCCTCTAAATATTGAAAGGACAGCCTTTGTTGTGAATTCCAAGTAGACTACTGCTCTTATTCTTAATTATTAACTGAGTCTTACTGATCTTTTTATTGCCCATTGCTAGACTACTTTGAATTTATTCTGCCGTTGTTATTTTAACTTTTTAAGACATAAAGAAACCCACAAAAAAATAGTACTAATGTATTGAAATGTATTTATTGTCTTTTCTGGTTCCAGAAATTTGGTGCAGATATAATATATTGGTTAAAGGATCAGACAGCAGGCCACATCTCCTTCCTTCTATATCTCATCTCTCTTTTTTTTAACTAAAAGTACATGATATGATTGTCATAAACAGAAATGATACAAGTGCTTATTGCATGTAGAGTGTGGTAGTACTGCATCTGATCACGAGTGTTCATTTGAGACCCATGCTGAGATGCATTCTAATGCCAGGTATGAAGTGCTTGTGATTGTGATCACGTGATCACGGGTGTTAATAGTCTGAACACATGTGATCACGGGTGTTAATAGTCTGAACATGCTTTGAATCAGTCGTCGCTCTTTAAGATGCAGGCACAGCATCGCTCCACTAATGTAAGACAGTGCATTTCATTTGGATATGAACATGATGCTATGTTACTCTTCACTCTTCTGTGCCAAGCTCAGTCTGTGCAAAATTGCAGTGAGTGAAAACAGTGGCTTTTAGTGAAAGCCAACAGTCCGGCGACCCAATATGCAGAAGATACACACGTTTACATACAGTACATGGACAAGTGAGTATGATTATTTTCCCCTCTGCTGCTTAACAGTGACATTTAAATAAGCACCTGATTAATAATCATTTAAAGTTGCTGCTCCAGCTTCTATTTTTTTAATCATGACAGATTTGCCATTTTAGCAGAAGCTAACTTTACACTTTTGAATACCATGGGGGCTATCAGCGTTCTTTTATTCAAACAGTAATCTGCTTCCACTTCCTGAAAACAAACATACACATGACATAATGGACTATTCAACAATGTCGCCTCAGAAAATAAAAGGACCATGGTGGAAATCCTATTTGATAAAACAGATGCCGTAACGATTAGCTATATGGCTAAAACCCACTGGGAACGGGTTTGTTGACCCTGCTGATGACGGTCCAACTCTGCAGAGCCACAGCTGTGAAAAGAGGAGGTCAAAGAATCTGTGGGGGACTGATAGGATTCACCACACCCTGGGTGTCATGGCCAGTGCGCTGGGTCTGTGCCCTGGACCGCGATTAGTGGCCATTTTTTTTTCCCTCCCACCCCGTGCCACGAACAACAACTGGCTACAAACAACAATCAGCCTGCAAACAACTGCAGAAAAAAATGTGTAAATAGTGCTTGGTATTTATAGTTCAAATAAGAGTCAAACCATCTTTTCTGTTTTATATCCACACATGCTCACCTCAGTCTGCTTCACATTCCTAAATTCAACCTACCCTTGAACTCTGTTTATCACAGAAGCCAACAACGAAAACCTGCTGCATTTAAAGTGCTGTTGGCGGTGGGGCGAGGTCAGCTTTGACTGGGAAGTTATCAGTGGGGGAAAGATA